GGTACAGAATTCTCAGTTGAAATTGCTTTTCCTTTAATGTTTTGAATATATTCTCCCATTCTTTCCTCGCTCGCATTGTTTCCGATGAGAGATCTGTCGTTAGTCTGATGGGATATCCTTTGTAGGTAACTTGCCGTTTTTCTCTTGCTAGTCTTAGTATCTTGTCTTTGTCTGTGGTTTTGGTCAATCTGGCTATAATGTGTCTTGGAGAAGATCTTCTTGGGTTGATTCTAGTTGGGGTTGTTTATTCATTTTTAACTTGCCAAAGGGCTCGTGCACTCACCTGAGAGAGACATATATATATATATAGAGAGAGAGGGAAAGTGAGAAAACATTCACATGTGGAATGGTCATGTCACCCTTCTCCACTTCTCCCTCCTTTCATGATTTTGGGCATGCTTGCACATGTGACCAGCATGTTTCTCACAGTGCTGGGTCTGGGACTCAAACCACCCAGCTGGCCATGAGGGATCCAGCCACTTTCAACACCTTGCCAAGGACTTTTTCTCTAGTTTCTTTTATTGAAGTTTTCCTTCTTTGTGCTTGTTCCCTGCACCTTACTTCTCACGTAGGTCCATTCAGCATATTCATTGAGCACCATATAGGCTGAAGAGAGCTCCAGAGACCTCTTCCCACTAAGCCCTCTTAAATTGTTAACAGATAGCTAGTGTTTGCTGGTAAGGCAGAAGATGACTTACAATTCAAATGCAGTAGAGTTGCTATTTTATCTCATAGGTGCTTGACCGGTTTTCCTGTTAAATCCTACTATGTCCTTTCTACCTACTCACCCTGTTAGATAACACAGTGTGATGGGATTACGGAGGACCTTGAGAATCTGGACCTAATACTCTGGGAGTTTTGTTTTATTTCATTTTTTTTTTTTTTTTTTTTTTTTTTTTGTGTAGGGCGCGTGTGCTCACTAGAAAGACAGAGACAGAGAGACAGAAAGCAAGAAATCACCCCCCCCCCCAGGAAGGTTGACCATACCTCCATCCCTTCTCCATTCTCCTCTCAGGAATCTTGGGCACACATGCACATGCACCAGGTGTGAGTTTAAGCCACTGGGTCCGGGACTCGAACTGCGGTCAACTACATGGGAGTCCAGCTACATAGCCATTACGTCAACTGCTGGTCCCCAATACTCTGGCAGTTTTAGAGTCAGGGGTTGAGCTAACTAATATACAGTGTTACCTCTATGTGTTTTCTTTCCACCTCGAAGCTAAGCACCTAGGATCACTGTCCTTTCTCATGTGTCCTGTGCTCCCCACATTTTTGTTAAATGAATGGTAAGCTTCTTAAATTCTCTTTTGCAGGTTTTATTCAGGCAAGGAATATTATACCTGTCATTCACCAAGTTTCAACTTTTTGACTCAATGACTTTTGTGCCAGTGATACCAGAGTCCTACAGCCATGTTCTCGCAGAGTTCGAGTCTCTGGATCCATTGCTCTCAGCCCTGCGGCTGGACTCCAGTCGTCTGAAGGTGAATTTCTTGATCCTCGTATCAGTTTCATTTTCACATTCGTATTTTTACACGATTGCTCTTAAAAGTGCCCTTGCCCTTTAGCTCCTTGTGTTTTGTGAGATCTTGGATGTTCTTATGTGTGCTAGTCATACCTTATATAGAATAGCATGTTCACAGCTCTTTCTTGGTTTAGTTTTTGAGCTGTCTTAGAATTCTTCCTTCCTATCCCTGGAAACCATGGATATGGGGTTTCTAATCCCACCCCAAGTAATCTCTAAGTCTTCTCTTAGGAAGTAGTGCTTTGAATGGAAGTAAAGTAGTATAGATGAGCATGCCCCCTTACAGTCTGAATAATACAAACTCCAGTTTTAGGAGACAAAGCAAAAGTTAGCTAGCGCTGGGGGAAAATGTATGTGTTTCCTTCAAAGTATGAATTGTTCTTTTTCTTTATTCGTGATAGAATGCATGTGGGTGTGTGAGGGAGAGGGAGAGAGGAGCACCCTCCACAGGGTCTAGTCGTGCTGTGGTCCCTTCCTGTAGTCGTCCAGCTGTTGGACCTTGGGTAGTTACGTGCATGCTCCAGCATATTTTAAACTCCGAGTTCTTTTGTAAGCTCAGGAATGACATAGTAAAGAGCAAAGTTTCATAACCAATACCAAAATAATTTCATTCTTACACTTTCATGACCACCCAACACATGTTCCTAACCTCTGAAAAAGGAGAATAAAAAGTGATGAAGTACTGTGAGCAATAATTGTGACGGTTCACATTAGTTAGAATTTTTTTGGCTGCAAGTTACAATATTATTAATAGTGGCTTAAACAATAAAGGTTTTATGTATTTTTTTTAAGGTTTTTGCCATAGTGTGTGTGCACTGTCCATACCAGGGGGGATGGCCATGCCACAATCCCTTCTCCTCCATTTTCTTTCTAGAATTGTGGGCATACATGCCCAGTGTGATTCTCTCTCTCTCTCTTTTTTTTTTTTTTGTTCTCTCTTTTTTTTTTTTTTGGAGAGGTTTTTGCTATAGGGCGCATGCGCTCGCCAGACAGAGAGAGAGAGAAACAGAGAGACAGAAAGTGAGAAATCCCCCCAGAGAGGTTGACCACACCACAATCCCTTCTCCTCCATTCTCCTCTTGGGATCTTGGGCACACACGCACACACGCCTGGTGTGAGTTTCAGCCACCAAGTCCAGGATGAACCACGGTTGACTACAGGGTAGTACAGAAACATAGCCATTACGCCAACTGCTGGTCCACCCAGCATGATTCTCAAGCTTCCAGGTCTGGGACTTGAATTGCGGCCATATGAGAATCCAGCTTCTTAACCACTGTGCCTCCTGCCAGCGCCAAGCCATGTAATTTCACTGGAGGTTAGTATTTCTGGAGCTTGGTGTGGTGGCCCAGAACTATAAACGACACAGGCTCTCCGGTTTCTCTTTTCTACCATCATTTGTATGTTGGCTTTTTTTTTTTTTTTTTTTTTTTTAAAGTGTTTTTTTTAAAGGGGCAC